ATGCCAGGCTTGTATGGCTTGAGAGAGAAGTTAGAGGAGCAGAACTGGCAGCTGATGTAGGAGTTCAAGAGGTGGGAGAATTGAGAGGGGTCAGCTATTTTTGCTATCAGATTTCTCCTCGTAGTTCTGAAAGGGTTTCCAAGTGACAATACAGTCTTTGTACAAAAATATTTAAGCATAATCTTTTTTTTTTCTTGCACAATGTACTTGCCTGATCAAAAACCCATCTACTTTGTTTGCATCAGATGAACAGGAAACAATACAATTACACTATAACAATTTTTCAGACTTTTGTGATAGAAAAATCTTTCACAATTAAAAATAAATGTTTTGTCATGTGGTGCTAAATTTTTCCATCGGGGCAAATCAGTTCTAACAACGTTTAATTGCCTCTGCAACAATGCCTAATTTTATGGCCATACACAATGATAACTGAGTGTATTTAGTATCTGTAAGTACATGGTCTCTCTCGTGTATACGGATTATATGGTCTTCTGTGTCTCTGTTTCATGACCAAGTTGTTCACTGGTCAGTAGGGGACAGAAGCTGAATTAACACCTTAATAAACAAATAATCAGATGTTTAGTACAATATTACATTAATATAATAGATTAAGATACTGATGATTTGAGATAAATAAAATCTGTTTGTACCTCTATAGGAGGGTTCCCTTTCAAAGCTTTTGTAACCTGTTGTTAAGTGGGGAGGTATACTGTCCCTGTAGAACTGTGAACCATAGCTGTTGAACTGTGAACCAAAGCCACTGAATTGCCCCATCATTTGGCCTTACACAGGAAGTCTAATATCCATGTCATGTTTTGACCATATTAACCGCCGCCAAGAGAGCAATATCTCACTTTTCTTCACAGATGCTCTTAAAAGACTTGACTAATGCTCAGAGTTTAACTAGAAATTCATAGGACACAAATATTTAGTAATATTGCATATTATTTTACATTTAGATGGTCCTCACTGCAGAACACAAGATCCAGGGGGCGTGGTTGGATCCAGATCCAACTCCTCCCACCTTACATATACCTAAACCTACCCGTCTCCACCAGCTGATCCCTAAACCCACCCATCTCCGTTTAGATGTGGATCCAACCACGCCCCCTGGATCTTGTGTTCTGCATTGAGGGGCTACTGTTAATCCCAGTGATCTGTTTAACCTTCTAAAGGGGGAACATTTCCGATAATGCCCGATTGCAATGAAAACACAATACAAAATACAAAACAAAGCAAAATAATAATAATAACATAAAACTCAGTGTAAACTATATTGTACTTGCATACGTATGCTTTTTGTTATTTTTATATTAAAAACTAAGCAAGTTTAATATATTTAGATTCAGTTCCGACAACAATGGTGGCACCATGATTAAAAAAGACAGAAAAATGATATGTTAAAATATTGGTACTTTGACAAAACACTATTAAAAGTTAACATACCTAACCAAAATTTACTTGAGTATAGTTAAAACGTTTCAAAGTGCCATGTTTTAATCACATAGACAAATAAATATTATCACTGACCAGTTTTGCCAACTGCTTTCAAATAAAAGTAACTAAAACAGTCGCTAAATGTTCCTGTGGCTCAGTGGTAGAGCATTGTTAGCAGCGCAATTCCCAGGGAACACACATACTGATAAAAAATGTATAGCCTGAATGCACTGTAAGTCGCTTTGGATAAAAGCGTCTGCTAAATGTATAAATTTAATTTAATTTAAATGTTGCTAGATTATGTCTTAATGGCAAGTTCACTTAATGGCAAGTTCAGTGGGAGAGTCTTGGAATCTAGATATGGTTTGTCCAAGAAATTTATTTTGTTGCTAGGCTTTTGAAAAAAGTCTCCAAAGGGTTGAGGAATCACTAAATTGGCAACACTGACATTGATGTAGCGAATCAGCTCATGGGGAAATATGAATAATTAATCATTTAGGTCGTAAAATCTCTCTGGTCTAGCAAAAGTGTCAGGGTTGCCATGGTAACCAGGGTCCTGGGCCTCGTTCCCAGACATTTTGGCACCCAGTATGTTTATTGGGTGAGGGGTCTGTGAATGTTTGTTAATCTAATGAATAATTGATTTGTTAAATCAAATGAAAAATGGTGTGTCTGATTGGTCCAGACACTACATTGACTACAACATAACTAGTTATTAATATTTTGTTGGCCTCTCTTGTTTTTGCATGTGTTCATAATTTCTTTGTATGACAGCATCGCCAAAAATTATGACCTCATTGGCATGTTGGCATGTTTCTTTGCATTATCACAAATAAAACAATTGATTCGAGGGAAATGTCAGATTTTCTAGGCCGGACATCACTTTTGGCCACAACTATATGGCAGTTCTTCGACTTTCCTGACGGTCAAGCCATGCTGCAAAAACAAGCCACTTTTATGAGGATTGTGGGCTTTCCTGGAGTTGTTGGAGCCATTGATGGAACTCATGTTCACATCAGTGCTCCAACTGTAAACGAGGAGACATACCAAAAGAAAACAATTTCAAAGCATCAGTAACAATTTGTGATAATTTTGCACAGTGCAAAGCATTTTTTAAAAATACTTTTACATATTAAAATATTTCAGTGTCTTAATTAAATGATTTTTATTATCGTTACATTAAATGATTAGTGTTGTACTGCTGTGACTTCACATGAGCAGGCTCACTATTGGCTGTCTCAGAAGTCGAGGGCAGACATTTTGGGTCAACATCATTGTAGTCCTTAGTTTGCAAGACTTAAGTGTCACCTCAGTCAACACTTAAGAATCAGTCTTAGACATCACTTATTGTCTGTTGATTCCACTTTCATCATCAAATGTGACCCTGGACCACAAAACCAGTCTTAAGTGTCAATTTTTCTAAATTGAGATTTATGCATCATCTGAAAGCTGAATAAATGAGCTTTCCGTTGATGTATGTTTGTTAGGATAGGACAATATTTGGCCGAGATACAACTATTCTATGAACTATGAAAATCTGGAATCTGAGGGTGCAAAAAAATCTAAATATTGAGAAAATCGCCTTTAAAGTTATCCAAATTAAGTCCTTAGCAATGCATATTATAAGTCAAAAATTAAGTTTTGATATACTTACAGTAGGAAATTTACAAAATATCTTCATGGAACATGATCTTTACTTAATATCCTAATGATTTTTGGCATAAAAGAAAAAGCTATAATTTTGACCCATACGATATATTTTTGGCTATTGCTACAAATATACCCCAGCGACTTAAGACTGGTTTTGTGGTCCAGGGTCACAAATATTATACATTTCTTAACTTCATTTGTGAAATATTGGACTTATGATTCTCGTATAAACAAGTAACAGGCAGGAACAACTCATTGTCATAATTACAGTACACTTAATTGCAGCACTTCTCATGTTACTGCCTCCTTCATTTTTTATATTCACTCTGGATTAAAGCATCAGCTAAATAAATACAGTATGAACATCTATACCAGGGATCCTCAAATCTGGCCCACGAGATCCACTTTCCTGCAGAGTTTAGCTCTAACCCTAATCAAACACACCTGAGCATACTAATCAATGTCTTCAGGATCATTAGAAAATCACAGGTAGGTGAGTTTGATCAGGGTTGGAGCTAAACTCTGCAGCGCATTGGCCCTCCAGGGAAAGATTTGAGGAACCCTGATCTATACTATCAATTTACAAAATCAATTACAAAACCACATATACAGGTAGGCTAAACTTAAAATTAACAGTTGAAGTACAACCAAACAACAGTCATTAAAGGCTTGATATATTGCCACACTATGGTAATCTGTTGTTGAGTGTTAATAAAAAGTGTTTTTATGCTGAGATCTGTCTACAAAATGATTGAAAAGTCTGCGATATGCTCTAACCCTCAAGGCCAAACCGTGTCGCATATGGCTTTAGTCGGTCTGTCACAAATTCATCATTGCGAGGCAGCTTCTTCATGAACTCATGTATGGCTTTCACTGATTCTTCGAATCCCCATGTCTCAACAACCAAAGTCACCAACTCACACCTGTCTTTTGCTTCTTCGAGTTTCACTGAACGAATGGGATCTCTTTTCCCAGTGTGCTTCATTAGATGCTTCAGATTCTTGAACTCCCCACTTGTAAGATCCTCCATGATTTCACCAAGAGCAGATATCCAGGTATTACAGCTCACTAGGCACACAAATAGACAAATAATTATCAGGCATTTTATAACATGATGCATTCTGTGAAGCTCAGGGAACGTCAAAGATAATTATGGTACCTTGAATGTTAGAATGTTCTTCAGATCTCATTTGTGCGTGATTATCTACAGTTACATGAGAAAAACAAGACATTAATTTATGCTTTTTACAGTGTACAAAGTATTACCAAAAATGTCTAATTACCTGTGTTTTTCTTGAGAATTATCCAACGCTTCCATGCATTTTTGAAATTAATCATATCACTTTCCTTTATTTTACGCTGAATTTTAATTCGCAGTTCAGTCACATCTTTATCTAAGAAGACCTCAAATGTAGGATGGTGATTACCAGCGTGCAAGGGTTCAAATAATTTTTCCTAAAGGATAGAAAAAAAACAATAAAGGATAGCAAATTCTCTGTGCCAATGGACATTACCAAGTTTAGATTTACAGTGTGATAAAATAACTTTGTGGTGAAAATAGATGTCTGGGAGAAACTATCTCTGAATTCACTTACCTTTGGTTGGACTCTTTTGGCTTTTTTTGAGATCAGAGCATACTTTGCATTTATCTGTAGTTTGCAGTCAGAGCTGGTTTGGATGAACACATACTCTTGTTGCTGTTCTTTAATCTGCTGACCAAACAATGAGTGTGAGTGATGTTTATTAAAACTAATCTCTCAAAAATAAAATGAGTACAAATGAAAGGTTATCAAACCTCGGAGAGTGGAACATTACTTGGCAATAGAAAAACCCATAGCCTTTGCTGTGTCTGTGATATATAAGGTTCCTGGAACAGCAGCACCTGGCCATTGATGATTTTGTTATTTTTATTATTCTCTTGCGCAATGCCAAGCTCAGATAACCTACAGATATTTACAGCTATATGCGTTCTTGAAATTTTATTTGGAGAGAGGAATTCCCGAGTGTCCTCGTGTATATGGACAACAGAAAGATTTCCAATTGCATCAACTGTAGATAGAAAGATAATTGGTAAAAAAAGAGACAAAAACCCAATTAAGTTTTATAATGAGGTTGTTCAAAAAAACAAAACAAAACAAAAACTTGGGATTGAATGGTATTGTGTTCATATTTTTAAATACAGTTTTTCTGCTCATGAAGATATATTTTACAGCAACTTTTTATTTGACAAAAACTAGACTTTAAGCCATGAAACCCTCTTTTGATGGCAAAATAAGATGAATATTATTGTGAGCTGTTCTTCAAGGCCTCCTTAGTGTGGAGTTGACATACTGTTAATTATATTTTATTCAATACTGAAAATTGCCAATAGAAAATCATTCCATCTAAATGTAAAATAATATGCAATATTACTAAATATTTGTGTCCTATGAATTTCTAATTAAACTCTGAGCATTAGTCAAGTTTTAGAGCTTTGTGAGGAGCCATTTATGTAGCATGAACACCCACAAAGAATGTTTACAAAGAATCAGTTACTTAAAAGATTCAATTTCAGTGAGGAAGCAGCTTCAGAATCACAATAGAGACAGCTCAGATTGTAGAACTGAGCTGAGAAGGCTAACATCATGCATGATGATGAAACTGAACTGATATGAGCTGATTTCCTAACAATTATTTCAATAATGTACTGTATACAATAATTAATAATAAAGAATATTCATAATATGTAGGCTACTAGTAACATTATAGATAGGGTATCCATTCATTAACATGCTTTATCATTTACCGTTTGTCTCACAGTGTGGAAGGTGAAGCTCATAGATTTCTCCTGTAGGGGTTTTGATATCAAACAGAGGTCCAGCAGGCTCATAGTGAGTGTTGATGAGGTGACGCATCTCCCAGTGAGCCACACTGTACTCTAAACATCCACTTCCTTTCAATCCAAACACTAGCCCAGTTGCGCTGCACATGAAAAGGCCTTCTGTTTTCCACTGAAACCTGCAAGAAAAAAAAAATACATTTGAGAAACTATTTCACACAGAAAAGTCATATTTATTATGAATAGAAGTCATACTTCAAAGACAAAGAGAATTTACTGACCTATAGGAAATCCTGCCATTATTTACTGCTAGTTCAGGCTCAAACTTCTTGATGGGATCTTCTGTCTACAATATAAGACAATTTAAATGTTTTTACATGACTTTTTATTACTAACAAGTATAATACACCTTTTTGATAGGTAATTGATTACTGACAGAAAGTACTGAGAAATGGCTAAAGAAATAGCAAAGAAAGCACCGTTTTGCTCATCCACCTGTGCATGATTGTCTTGAACCCATCTGCTTTTGGCACTACAGGCTAATCTTTAAAGTGAAATGGATGTGTGCAATTATATCTTATTTTGCCATCCTAAATTTCACACCTTTGGTGAGTTGATTTGCTATGATAACATTAAATGCATGCCTGATATTTCATTCAGCAGTGTTAAAGGGATAATTCACCCAACAATGGAAATTCTGTCATTATTTATTCACCCTCATTTTGTTCCAAAAGCTGTATACGTCTATTTTTTCCTGTGGAACACAAATGAAGATATTTTGCAGAATGTTGATAACCAAACAATTTTGATTATTTGACTTATATTGTATGGACAAAACAATGAGATATTTCTAAAAATATATTTTCTTTTGAAGAAAGGAAGTCATACGTGAATCACATGAGGGTGGTTCATTGGTTGAACTATCTCTTGAAGTTGTATTTTAGTGTGAGAAATAAGTATTAAGCAAATGCTTAATGGTTTATTGCATCTGTGCTTTTCTCGCTTGTATTCTAACAACCCTATTTATCAGTTGGAGATGTTCACTCTCTTCACCCTGCACCTTAACATCAGGTGACAGAGATCCGCATTTCTCCTAAACTACAGAGATAATCTCAGCATACATTGCTGACAACTAATCAAGAATGGGCACACTTTATCACCCATCTTTAAATAAAGATTGAAGTCCCCTTCCTACTACATTACCCTTATGTTTGCAAATGGCCCGCAAATCATCCTTCACGATCTGTTGGCCTTTAATGACATTCCACTTATATCCACCATTCATAAAACAAAAATATTATTCCTTCATCTTCACCCTACTAATGATTTAGGCTTTTGCTAGCTAGTAAACTTTTTCAGAATGCTGTTCTAAATATCTGAACAATCTCACAAATGTAACTCAACAGTAACAAATGTTTTGTACCAGTACCTTAACAAAAGTATTGATTGATTTTTCCATCTCGCTTTTTGATCTCAAATCTTTTGCAATGTATTTCTGTGGTTGGACGCATCTTCTTGTATCAGTCTGTTGGGTTTCAAAGCGTGCTTCTTCCACCAGGAGGCCCATCTCTGTTATTTGATTGTCACAAAGGCTGTGCAAATGATTGAATAAACATTATCAAGAATTTAATTTAGTCTTATACACCAGAACAAACCAAAACTGTAATTTAACAAACACACTGGCAGCTGAGATGGCCAAAACTTTAACATAAATAGACAGTTACAATTTTACAAGCATTATGACATTGTGCAACTTATAAGCTACTACTTATTAAAAAATAAATAAATAAATAGTGTGACATCCAAAATATTTAGGTTGTACTCCTGTGATAAGGACAATTAAATTAACCTATTATCAGTTTTTCACTAGAGTATTTTTTTCCATTAAAATTTCAGTGTACAGTGCTAGCTGCACAAAATATAAAATTTAACACCATAATCACCATATGGTCTTTGTGAAACTGTTTTCTTCTAAGGCTTGGTGCAGTCTCAGCACACCTTTGTCAGTTATGTCATTTCCAGTTAGACTGAAAAAAGGCAAAGTGTTAAGAGTTAAAGAATTAGCAATAATGTGGTTTAAATAAAAAATAGACATTTAATTTCTTTAATTTTTGATTAGCCCATGAATACTCACTCTAAAATCATCATTTTGTGAAGGTGAGGGAGTAAAAGATCCAAGCACGCATCTGTGATCTGACAATAGCTGAGATTAAGATGTGTAAGCTCCTCTTTGTAATCCAAGACCAACTGCAGAGACTCACATGTACGGTAGTCAAGAGGAGTGTCACTGAGGTCCAGCTCTTTTCCAAGAGCTTTGGAAAGTGTTGATGCCCATTGCAAAGACATAGCCATGGGTGCATTAAAAATCAAGGTTAAAACCTGACAAAGAAGGCTTTTGCCCAAGCTGTAAGACAGAACATTTTGCAACTGAATCATTTAATCATCTGTAGAAATATAACAAAAAAAAATTACCTTCATTTATGTAAAAGTATATGAGGACTCACCAAAGATGCACTTTGTGCAGTATAGGAAACAGAATCTCAAGTGCAGAATCATCTGCTTGGCAGTCGTATAAAATTAATTCTGTGTCACATGTTGATGTTTTAATGGCAGAAGAAATGGCTGTAAAATCCATACGACTCATAGTTAGAAGATCCCCATTCTCTTGACCAAAACGGCCACTGCCGAGGGAAGAATTGCAGGAGAAGTCCAGTTTTTGGTTCAGTGCAGTCAAGAGGGAAGACACTGTATATCCTTGTTTTTCCAAGTCCTTAGAGGCATGAAGAAAGCTCAATAACAGCTTTCTATCAACTCTAGTCCAATAAAGTACAGCAACAGTGTTAGTAAAACAATAAGCACAGTGAGCAATGCAAAAAAATTATGCAAAGATCTTTAAATGTAAGCTGAACAAAAATTGAGCACATTACCTCAGATCAGAAACTCTGTGCAGAAGTTTGACAATGCTGCCAGTCTCATTATTTGGTATGACAGCGTTCAATAGGTTGAGCTTAACACCATCACTATAGTGCAGGGCAAAACAGAGGGCTTTGCAGTCAGTTGAATCCAGCTCTCTCATGCAAAGGTTAATCAGGTTAGCTGAAGATTTGATTAATTTCACAATCAGATGACCTGCACGTTTTTGGTATATCTCTTTCAGTGCAGCCCTGACAAACCGTGGGCTTATCCTGCATTATAAGAAATAATTATTACAACACCATAAAGTGTAGATATGATTAAATATATTTAACTGTACACCAATAAAAGTCTTGCCTTTTAAAGCAAACTTTGTCCAGTACAGCCAGAAGGCTCGGAACTTTCAGAACATTAAATCTACCCTCTGCAAGGTCTAGTGTCACTTGCTTTTTGGTGCCCTGAATTAGGTAAGATAAAACTTCCCAGGACAAATTACAAGGTGACAGATCACCATCAATTTTCTCCAGGAACATTTGGGTCAAATTGTCATCTTGAGCATCATACACAATTTCTGCCAGTCGTTGCAGAGTGCCTTCATGAAATCTGTTGTCATAGAATTATTATTAATATACATTTTTTTTCAAATAAATAAACACTTCAAGGTTTCTGGAAAAAAAGGATATATACCACAGCGGAATCACACTTACTTAATGGACAAGGGACCCTGATGACACAGCAGACAAATAAACCAGTGAGGCTCAATTTTAAATTCAGAAAGGTTCAAGTTGTGGACTGTCCAGACTCTAAGAAGAGAAGTTAGGTTACTTAATAGCTGGCAAAGTGCTCTCTCTGGTAGATGAGGGTTAGACAAAACCAAAGACAACTCTTCCACAGTTACAGCATTTATTTCTTTATCTGATATAACCAGTCTTGACAGCTTTGCCATTGCCATTTCATTTATTCTGAAAAAAAAAGTAAGCAAACGTAAGAACACTGAAATTTGTTCAATGAATTTACATCATAAAAATTATTACCTCAAGGTTTGAAGCTTTTTCACATTTGAAAAGAGGTAGGCACAACCTTGACAAGAGATCTTTTGAGGAAGAAGACTGAGGGAGATGTCCTCCTCATTGTCCAGCAGTTCAAAAATATTGGCAACAGCTTTACAGAGGCGACTTGACAGCATGTCTATCAAAGAAATGCTAAAACCAATGGATTTTAGAAGCTCAGCAATCTGCTTTGGATTCCATTCTCTGTCTGCTGAAAGGACTTCACACACAGACTGGAAAAACTGCTCATCGCAGCTATAGAGAAATTGTAAGTTGCATGTAAAGTTACTACACAAATCAGACAAGAAAATGAAAGGAAGCACAATAAAATATGACAACTTAAAGGGATCGTCCAGCCAAAAAATGCTGTCATCTTTCACTCACCATCATGTTGTTTCAAACATGTATGACTTTCTTTCTTCAAAAGAAAATAGTTTTTATAAACGTCTGTGTTTTGTCCATAAAATTTAAATCAAATATAACCAAAACGGTTTGGTTATCAACATTCTTCAAAAAAACTTTGTGTTCTACTAAAGAAATAAAGTCATACAGATGAATAAATTATTTATATATCATTTTTGGATGAACTATCCCTTTTACACTGCCAAATGAAACATCATGCATTTTAATTTTGTCTCAGCAAATCAACTCACCAAAGGTGTGAAATATAGGGTAAACAATTTAGGAAACTCCTAAGTTTTTCTCTTTCACATGACCAGCTTGTGAGCTCCACAGTTTTTGTGACAGCCTGAAGCTTCAGTAATTCAGTAAGAGCAGGAGTCTTCTCTAGCTTTTGTAAATCCAATGTCCATACAGCAGGGGCAACCTGAAGAATGGGCTTCAATGCTTGTAGTGCTGCCTTTAATGAATTGTCCTTCAGCTGGCTGAAGAGATCCAAAAGGAAAAAGCTCTGTATGTCTTTGCCGTCTTCAGCAAATGGAAATGTTGAGTAACTGCATGCTGTAGAAAGGCTTTTTAATTTTTCCTCTCCACTTTCCGATGCAAGAATGAAAAGATCAACAACAATCTTCACAATTTTGTGGATGTCTTTGGGCTGTCTGAGAGCAACACTGAACCTGCAATATTTTGAATTAAAAAAATTAAAAAAATTATTTTATACCTAAAAACTATTCCCAGTTGTTTTAAATCAACACTATTAAAAAACTCACCTAATTTGTGTAATGTAAGGCATACATTGAAGAATTATTTTAAGTTCACTCAGCTCATATGTGTCATGATCTAGTTCAGCGGGCTTCTTTAAATTTAGAACATCCATGGTTTGGAGGAGTAGTGACATTGATGGGTTTGAAGGCTGTGCAACCCATGTAGGTGGCAATGCATGGAAAACAGGTTGCAAAACTGGAAGAACATCCATGTTCTTGGCATGTTCATGCAGTTTCCGCAAGAATTTATACTGCTCAAAAAGGTTTTCGCTTTGATTACTGCTGCAAACAGACAGCAGATTCCTTACACATCGCTGACCTGTCTTCATCTCATAAATAGCTCCTTGAAGATAGAGCTCTGTTTCTATAGTTACTTTAAATTGATGGGGGGAAATCCTACAAACAAACGAGAACAAAATACAGAATATATGTGAATTAAGTAAAAAAAAAAAAAGTGAGAAAAATAAATAAGCGCAACTGGTTGTACCTAATGGTTGCAATATTGGGTAAACTCTCAAAAATTGCCTGCTGCAAAGATCTGGTTATGACTTCTTCATTTACATGCAGAAAAAGATGAACAGCCTTATTTTTAAGGACTTCTCCTATCCTTTGAAACACTTTCTGGTCTAGTGTTTCATGTGCAGAGAGATGCATTTCAAAGCTGAATAAGCTGAGCAAGCTATCAAAATCTGAAAACTGGCCTGCTTCAAGAGCCACTCTCCACATTTGAGATTTCAGCACGCTTGTTGACCTGGAAATAAAAAATGTGAAGAATAAAAATGTTATACATCATATCATTTTTGTAATTGCTAGACACTGATGAAAGAAAGTGGCTGTTCTAAACTTCTTGTACCTGAGAAATTTCAGATTTTTCAATGAGCTTAGAAGTAGTTTCAAGCCAGGGTTAGTCATGCTACAATCTGTGAGATCCAGTTTAATATTCTGATGCACAGCTTGATTGACCACATAGGAGATTACACAGCACTGGTAAGGATCAAGTGTTTGATCCTCTAAATCAAGCTCATACTGAACCTTTTCCAGGAAGATTCGGCATGCATCAGCAGACTGATACTCATAAAGGCATCGACACACAAACAGGATGTTGTCAGCTTCCACAAACTGCTCACAATCGCCTTCTTGATTCTGCTCTTTGGTGTAAAGGAAAGTATCTATAATCTGTTGAAAGTACTTAACGCGTGTGGCTTCTATCTGTTCTACTGGCACCAAACACTTTATGAGCTCAAATAGATTATCCGCGAGAAGTCCAGACAAAAATGGCATGATATATTTAAGGTATTTTCCATCTTCATCGCTTTGGCATTGATCCAGTACACTGGTGATCTTGTCAGGATTTAAAATTATATAGAGAGCTGCCCAAAACTCTTGCATTGTATTATGCAGGAATGCATACACTTTGCAAGAAGTTGTGGATGGGTTCCAGAATTGCTTTGTTAAGAAAGCATTTTGCACAGACTTATCTTCATGATCCAAGTCTGTCAGGTTCACTGTCTTTGCTAGCATTGCTTGATAGGAGGCTAGAGCTAAGTTTACGACGTCCCTCTTGTTGTCTTTAATGTACTTATCTAAGTGCTCCACATCTTGATGTCCGTGTTGTTTCATGCAAAAGCGAAAAATTCGGAAATACATCTCCGTAACCGTAAATGGCTTACTCCTGGCTTCAGTAGGACTTACTGAAATGCAGGCAGCTACTATGAAGGCATACAGGGGTACAGAGCATAAACTAAACAACTCTGGGTTTTCCAAAGCACCAATGTCATCTGTTGTTCCCAACATCCACTTAAAGTATTCATAGATGGACTTATGATTAAAGCCCTGAACTTCCACTCGATAAGACCGCCAGTCTGACAGGTAACCTGTATTCTCAGCTTCTGGTCTGCAAGTGGTCAAGACCTTTGCATCCTTTAGAAGTTCCTTCTCCATAAGCTGTTTAATCACAGAGTTTCCAATCACATCCATGACACCATCAAAAATCAAAACAACATTTTCTGAATTGCTCTCAATATTTTCCAGGACTTGATCGGATGCTTCATCTGGGGATATGTACTTTTGAAAAAGTAGATCCTTCAAGGTTTGAGGATATGGAGACTGAGAGATGACTCTCATCAGTGGCTCATCAAAATAAAACATATAACTCACTGGAATGCTTTTCTCTTCTGTCCAGAGTCTAAGTATCTCCAGTGCAACTGTTGTCTTGCCCACTCCAGGTTTTCCCACAAGCAGGATGCTTTTCTCATCATTCATTAGTAAGTCTTTGGGAGACAACATTTTTTTGTCTGTTGGAATGTAGGTCTTCAGTTTCTTTGAACGAGATTTCTTGCATCCCTTGTTCTTCTTAAGCTTTGCAACTGTACTACACTCTGTGTCCATAACAAGCTGTATGTACATGAAGGGTTTCCTTTTTTGCTCATTTTTTAAAAAATTCATGCTTAGTTTCCATTTATCATCCAGTATTTGTCTTGCTTTCCATCTCAAAAGGCCCTGGTATGTGGTACAAGGATCTGAATCTGGAAAATATATTTCTAAATAAATTTCTTTAGAGATCTACAAAAGTACAGTGAAAACTAGTGCACAGTTCTCTAATGAAATGTGAATAGTATTCAAATGTATGCTACAGACTTAAAAAGTTCCATCAAAATAGACTCCATTTTCTTGACACAAAATGACAACTAGACAAAAAATATGTTTGTTTAGCATTGCCTGTTTCCAAATTCTTTCCATTTTGAGACATCATTGATCGAGAAAGGTAAATGAAATTCAATAAACCAAGGCAGGTTGCCTCATCCTGAACCCCATCATGCTACCACTTTGCCTTCCCACACTTTCACTATATGCCTCTGATTAAATAAAGGTATTAATAAAACTAAAGGCAGGAATAAAAATACACGTATCTAAACCACTTGGCACAATAATAATAATAATAATAATAAATAACAGGAATATAAAACAAGAATACAGCATACCTGTGCTTGTTACCAACCTGCTTTGTTTGCTGTCTGAGATTGTGGTTCATCCTGGAAGGAGAAGCAACTAATCCAGTGATGTAAATCTGGACACCCCAAACCAGGTCTTGGAATTACTTGAAATCTTTTTTTGTCAAGAATTTTTAAAAACTTATAGCATGCTTCTTCTCCTTTAAAAATAACTATGTCAAGTATAATCTTTATCTTATCCTGACTATTTTCTGCAGATTCAATTGAATTAAGCTCATGAGTTTTGAAGAATTTGCACTGGTTTAAGGCCTCAATTACAGGGTCACAGTTTAAATGAGATCCAGTTAGCAGATTTCGTCCATTTCCTAGGAATTCCTGTGCAGATTGCTGGGTGCTCGCCATCCTGAAGATTCTGTTCTGCTCCTGCCATAATCAAATTCTGAGAGATTAGTTGCGAGGAAGGTGGTAAAAAAAGACAGTGTTTTGAATCATTAGTCAAAGTTTTAGCTTAAAAATTATTCAAAAAGAATTAAAACCGATTTAAAAAGAAAATTTAAATTACACATCTTTAGTTTAAAATGTAAATTCACTCTCTGACAGTAGGTGGCACTTATGGAACAGCTAATGCATCGGTTTCCAGGGTTACCCCACTGATCAATAATTTAATAATTACATTTTTTTTAATGTAATTTAAAATAAAATAAAAAAGTAAAATAAAATAAAAAATATATACGGGGGTGCTAGACAAAACGAAAGCATAAGCACCCTCAGTTGTGGCTATAATAATAACACTGGGTGAAACAGATCTGGCAAATGCTCCAGTACTTATGTGTTAAAAGGTTTCTATTTACAGCGTGTTTTGCAACGTTGAACAATGTAGCCAATCACAGACATATCTGTTGGCTTACTGAATGCAATGGCCAATCAGAGGTGTTTCAGTTAGTATCCACTCACTGCTTAAAATGTCAAGTTTTGTTCTGCACGTTCGCGAATCCTCTCATTAGAACAGGGGTTGCCAAACTC